GCCAGGAATCCGGTCACTGGGGAAACCTCTGAGCCATTTCCATACAGATGAGTGAACTCTCCAGGACTCCAAGCTCAATGCCAAGGCCAGCAAGTCATCTTCCAAATCCAATTACCTGAGATCATCAGCGGCTTTGGACGTGTCCCTGGTCGACCGTTTGAATCCATCGCTGGAAAGCAGCCTCACGGGCACACAGTGCAGGAGATAGCCCCGGGGCCTCGGCCGGTCCAGCCCTGCCTCAGCGACTGGTGGAGGACGTTAACAACCCCGAGTGTGGGCTTTTCCGAGTTTGTCCTTTCGCCGATGGCTATTAAGAGAATTACGGTAACACAAGCATCTAAAATGGCCCTATGGCCAATTCTCGGGCTATGAATCATTAGACCAACGTGGTCAAATTCTGTTGTCAGTGACCCGGGGAGTTTGTTGGGAGGAAGGAATTGTATTCAACATCATGCAGACACTTATGCTGGGGAACACCGGTGAGGACAGGCGAGTTTCCGAGGAGGGAAACTCATGAAGGGGGGACTTTTTCTGCTTTTTGTTTCACTTGAGCTGTAATAGCAGCTCTTCTGGGAACTGTGGGACCTCATGGTGGACCTGGGCTGGGCATGCTCCATCAGGTGTCTCCTGAGATCCTCCCAGCAGCGTGTGAACCGGTGTGAGTGTGTCCGCAGACACACACAGAAACGGAGGACCCACACAAACCTTCTGTTTTGAAATAACTCTGGACCTGCAGAAAAGTTACAAAAAGAGTAAAAGAATTTCCGAAAGCCTTCAACCCAGCATCCCCAAAGGCTAGCATCTTACAAGACTTGCCTTGTCACGCCTGGCACATGTGATGTTGCTTTGCCTCCAAACATTCCAGCATAAATTTCCTAAAAACAGGGGCACTTTGGAACATAGCCACCAGAAGGACGTCAAAAGGAGGAATTCATCCCTGGTACAATACTTTCGTCTACTTTGGGGAGCTTATTCAAATATCACCACTGATCCCACGAGTGTCCTTTAAGTCTAAGAGAGGGGCACAGAGGTCTCTCACTCTGATTGATTCAAAGTCAAATCCAGGACCACAGGTACCGTTCAATTGTCCTGGATTTTTAGCCTCCTTTATTCTGGACCATCCCTCAGTCTTTTCTAGTCTTTGAAGAGTGTGGCATTTTTGATGAGGGAAGACCTGTTATTTTGTTGAAAGGCTCTCAGTCTGGGTTTATCTGATGTTTCTTTGTGATTAGATTCCCTCATGAATTTTTGGCAGGAATGCCCCAGAAGTGATGTTGTATCCTTGTCAGGTATCATCTCAGGAGCCATTTGTCCCATCGTTAGTGATGGTAACTGACCACCTGGGCAGGGTGATGTCTCTCCTCTATAGAGTCACCGTTTCCCCCTTTGTGGTTGATAAATATCTGTCGGGAGCTACTTTCAGTTCAGTTCATTTCCTCTGTCATGTCCGACTCTTTGTAACCTGCAGTACGCCAGGCTTCCCTGTCCTCCTCCATCTCCCAGAGTTTGCTCAAACTCATGTCCATTGAGTCATTGATGCTGTCCAACCATCTCATCCTCTATCACCCCCTTCTCCACCTGCTTCAATCTTTCCCAGAATTAGGGTCTTTTTTAAGGAGTCAGTTCTTTGCATCAGGTGGCCAAAGTATGGGAGTTTCAACTTTAGCATCAGTTCTTCCAATGAATATTCAGGACTGATTTCCTTTAGGATTGACTGGTTTGGTCTCCTTGCAGTCCAAGGGACTCTCAAGAATCTTCTCCAACCCCACAGTTTGAAAGCATCAATTCTTTGGCGCTCAGCCTTCTTTATGGTCCAACTCTCACATCCATACATAACTACTGGAACAACCATAGCTTTGACTAGACAGACCTTTGTTAGTAAAGAGATGTCTCAGCTTTTTAACATGCTGTCTAGGTTTGTCATAGCTTTTCTCCCAAGGAGCAAGCGTCTTTTAATTTCATGGCTGCAGTCACCATTTGCAGTGGTTTTGGAGCCCAAGAAAATAAAGTCTGTCACTTTCCATTGTCTCCCCATCTATTTGCCATGAAGTGATGGGACCAAATGCCATTCTTAGTTATTTGAATATTGAGTTTTAAGCCAACTTTTTCTCTCTCCTCTTTGAGGCTATGCAAAAATCCTTTTACTCAGCATCCTTTCTCTTACTAGTTTTAGAACCCATTGGTGCTAAAACTTGCCCCCTTGTCAACATAACTTGTGCAGTGAACAACCTGTACAACTATATCCAAGCCCAGATTCCAAGAGAGCCCTGGATTTTTTTTTTTTTTTTCTTTCTGCTCTGGGTTGTAACCTGTGATCAACAATATATATTCTGTTGCCCCAATCGTCCTAGGTTTGGCCAGTGGGAGTCCCTGTGGGTTGACTTTGAGAATGCCCCATTATTCATTGAGCACTTCTGTGAGTCTGTTACAGTGAGATGCTCCAGGCTATGAGCCAGTCTCCTCTGCAATTTTCACTTCCTTTTCCCCACGTGCTTGCTTCCACCATAAGCAGCATCTAAATCCCTTGACTTGTACTCATGTACTCTGTATGTTCATGCACCCACTTCAACATCAGATGTGAGGGGTTCTCCTCTGGAAATGACACTTGAGGACCAGCAGTTGGAAGGACTGAAAAATAAGGTGGGCCCAGATAGGTTTCTTGGATCTGTGCAGGTAATCCAGCTGTGGCTGTCAGTCAAGGAAGCATGCTAGTTACCCAGGGTTCACTTTAGCCTCGCCAATTAAATTCCTCCAATTTTGCAAGTGAAGCCCGGCTGATAGACATTTATTGTTGCAAGATAGTCATTTACCTTGGAGAGTGGAGGATTAAAGCAGTCCGAAGTCAGGATAATGCACCAGGGTAAGAACGCTTAATCTCCAGGGAGTGCCCCAAATCCCCATGACCTGCTTTTAATGCTTTCTGTGCATTTGGAAGCCTTGTGATAAGCCAAAAGAGGTAGAAACTACACAAAGACAGGAGTTTTAATCGGTCAATGATCTAAGCTGTCACTAGCTCATATAGTATCTGTGTACAAATTAGAAAAAGATGCTTTTCTCCCTCTAGTAGCTATAGCCCAAGCCATGCGGAAGGTTTGCAAGTGCAGTGTGGGATAGCCACTGTCCCGTTGCCTACATACCTTATGCAGTGAACAACCTGTGCAACTGTTCCCAGCAGCCCAGAGTCCAAGAGAGTCCTGGGTTTTTTCTTTCTGCCACAGGGAGTTCTGTGGACAGTCCACAAAGAATAAAGGGCAGTGGCTTGGTTAAATGTCAGCATTTGGCTGTGTACAAATGTCAACTCCTTGAAATACCTGCTTTCATGAGTTCCTGTCACCTGGGCAGGCTCAACTCCTGTTCAGAGGAAGGTAGGTTAAGAGGCCTCTTGTCAGCACCCTCACTCTGTTTGGACCTGTGAGGTGGGCAGAAGAGTATGGGATGGCTCCCTTGGAAAACTGCCCTTGCTGGGGGGGTTCCTCCCAGAAAGATGGTGTCTCTGGAGCTGCTGTGACTTAGTGGCCAGAGCATTGAGCAGCTGTAACACAGGTAATCGGGTTGTTCCAATCATGTGCTGTGAACATCTGAGCATGTGGGCCAACATCTTGGGGGGCAGAGACAGGCTGTAAGGAGAGCAGAGTGGGGAAGGGAGAGGAGGGGGACCTGGGAGTCCAGGAAAGGAGGAGGCCCCACTGTCTCATATCTGTCTGTCTCATGTTGTTGTTTCTATCTCCATTTTACAGAAGAAACCGAGGCTCAGGAACCGTGAAGCAAGTTCCAGGTGTGAATAAATAATTATACCCCAGTGTAATCATGTGACAAAGCTCTGTCCAGATGGCATAGTTTGTATTTTGATCCTATATATTACCTCACTTAACCTTTCTAGGATTCCTACGTTTTCATAGGTAAGGAATGGAGGTGTTAGGATTAGTGCAGGTACATTTACAGAAAACCCCAAATAACAGTGGCTGTAACATACAGGGGCTTATTTTTCTCTTTTGGAAAACAAGTCTAGAAATAGGAAGCTCAGAATCAGTACACTGGCTCCACAGTCATCAGGGATTCAGATTCTTTGTATCTTTTGTTTTATCAACCTTAGCACCTCCTGGTTCAAATACTGATCACCAGCCATTGTGTTTGCCTTCTAGGAAGCAGGAAGGAAAAAGGGAATGTACTGTGTGTCTTTTTTTTTTTTTCATTTATTTTTATTTGTTGGAGGTTAATTACTTTACAATATTGTAGTGGTTTTTGCCATACATTGACATGAATCAGCCATGGATTTACATGTATTCACTGTGTGTCTTTTTATTTCTCAAGGAACTTTCTCAGATGCCCTGCCCAATCATATTCCCTTACTTTTCATTTGGCAACCGGAGCTGCAAGGGAGGCTGGCAATTTGTAGTCTTTTCGTTGAACACACAGTCTTCTGGGATAAACATGAGGTTCTGTTAATAAGCACATCAATCAGGGTAGGCTAAGTGCTGAAACAAACCAACCTCCAGTCTCAGAGATTTAATAAAATAAATGTTATTTGGTGCTCACATTGGGCTTCCCAAGTGACAATATTGGTAAAGAACCTGCCTGCCAATGCAGAAGACATGGATTCGATCCCTGGGTCAGGAAGATCCCCTGGAGGAGGGCATGGCAACCCACTCCAGTGTTCTTGCCTGGAGAATCCCATGGACAGAGGAGCCTAGCGGGCTACAGTCCACGGGGTCACAAAGAGTCAGGCTCAACTAAAGCGACTTAGCGTGCATGCAAGCACGCTCACATCTAAGGGGCTTAGAGGCCGGAGGGAAAAGACAACGAGGACTGGGAACAGGAGGATCTCACACACCACCCCTGCTCACATGGGCTGGACTCCTTCATAAAATCTGCAAGGAGGCTGGGGAAAGTAGCCTCCGGGGTGCAGAAAGAAGGGGCACAGAGGCGAACACCAGGGCCACCAGCTGGCCAGGCTGCAGAGAGGGAAGTCCGTGGGGCCCAGAAGGCTCAGAGGAGGAAGGATGGCTTCCCTGAGCAGCAGAGCTGAGAGCCCGGGGCTGTGCGGTGTGATGCTCAAGGCCCGTGACACCCCTTCCAGGTAGCAGGAAGAGCCCCTCCTCGGAAACGCGGGGTCACACCACCTCCCACCGCACTTCCTCCGAAGGATACAATTAGTGGAACGCTCCAGACAGAGGCTGAACATCGAGGCCTCCCCCTCCCACGACCTGAATGGATCATTTGTGGCTCGAATGACAGACAAATGCAATAATTAGGCCTATTTAGTAAAGAGGGGGTGAGAGGTCAAACTAGGAGGCCAACGTTTCCTATTACTGGCCTGGTGACCAAGCGGGGTGGGTGGTGTTCGCACAGTTAACCGCCGCCCCGCCCCACCGGACCGAGACCAGCCGCCTCCCTGGGGCTTTCAGAGGCAGCTTTTAAAACCCCCAGGAGCCAGCCCCAGGCTTACAGGATCCAGCCTCCCACCCCTCCCTGTAGGGCTGTATCCTGACAGGGCGCCGGGGGTGGCGGGGCGGGGTTGCGGGGGGGAGCTGAGCTGCCTGGGCCAGACGTGGATGTGACCTCGTGGTGGCATCCACGGCTGGATCAGGGAAAATAGCCTCAGGTAATCCACCAGACAGTGGGTTAGTGCTCCCTCCTGCCCTGAACTTTGAGCACCCCGCTTCTCGCTTTCTTCTTTTCGTCCCTAAAAATCTGATTTCTTTTCACTTTAACCCAACATAGATGACCTGGCTGCTTCTCACTCTTTTCATTGTTCCCTGCCTGAGAGGATGTCCTGAGGGTCCCTCAGGCCTGGGGTGGGGGGTTTGGCGGGTGTAAGCAGGGCAGGCCCTGCTGGGTGTGGGCCGGGCCCACCTCCCCAGAGCAGGCGGCACCTGGGTGCAGAGGCCCCTCATCTGTACTTAAAGATGGTGCGAAGCCTTCACTGCACAGGATGGGTCCTTCCTGCTTTAACATTCTCTGCTGCTTCCCACCTGGTTGTTCTTGCTTCAAAAGGCGATTCAGGTGGGAGGGGGCAGAGGTGAGCGTCCTGGCCCTTGTGGGGAAGGCTTCCTCGGCCTGGTCACTCGGGAGAAGTGACCGGCCCAATGTTCCGTCCCCTTTGGCCTTGCAGTGGCCAGGAGGCGCCAGGCCAGAGCCGGTCCCCACCCAGATTTGGCAGATTCTACCTTGAACTTACGGAGCCTTTGGTGGTGGTTGGGGCAGAGCCGGGAGGGTTCAGTTAATTTGGTCTTAGACAAATGCTACTTCCTGATTCACAGGACAGAAGGATTTAAAAGAATTTTTTTTTTTTTTTAAGTTTTCATCTCTTTCCTGTCGCATCATTCTTTGCAAAGCGACACTGGGGTGAACGAAAGGGACAAGGATCAGAGACCAGCGGGCCTGGGGGTGGGACTGCCACAGGGAAGGAAAGTTCACAGTCCACCCTGTCTTGGGGTGCAGGGCCCTGAGTGGCCAGGAGAAGAGGTGGGGGACACGCAAGATGCTTGTCCAAACTCACATGGCCCCTGCCCCGCGGGATCCAGGCCAAGCCTGCCATCGCCAGTGAGGATGAAGGTGCAGAGGCCCTGCCCCAGCCAGGAGGCCGGGCTCTGTCTGCAGGAGGCGAGCCGGAAGGAGGCAGATTTGTTTGTTTGTTTGTTTGTGGAGGAGGTCACTGTGTGCCCTCAAAAGCCCGCTAGAGTCCAAGGGAAAAACCAGTCCCTCGGGAGAGGTTGTTTTTGTTTTGTTGTGCAAATTAGAGTTCAGCTGTGGAAGTCACCAAAATATATGGCCCTTGAAAATGAAAACACTGCCGAAGAATTGGGCTACGGGGGTTAAGACAGCTTTGTCCAAAAGCAGGCAGGATGGAATCCAATTCCAGAGGCGCCCGTGACCCTCCTCAGTTCCTCGAGGGCTTGGCCTCCCGTGAACCCAGCTCTCATGGTACAGGTTGTTCTCATAACTGGTAACCACAGTTTGCTGTTCCCGGGAACTCACCTCTGATCCTTGCGGGGAAACCCGAGCTTGTCACTTCTGAAAGTCCCCAGGGGCGTCACGTTTGGACTTATTTGGAGCCGAGGTGGGAGCTGGGCTAGTGAGACGGATTCCGACAGGGCAGCAGCCCCTGCCAAGGACATGGGCGAGTCAGGGTCAGCATCCTCGGGTCCAGCTTGTCCTGGGCTTGTGTCTTTGGGGGGAGGGGATGATCCTAGGGGCCACTTGCTGGCTCTTGTGATGCACCCGTGACCTGAGGGACCTCATCTCTACTCACCCTCCCATGCTGTCGGCGCCCTTGTACAGATGAGGAAACCAAGGCCCAGATGCCAAGTGAGCTGAGGAGCCAGGTGTCGACTCAAAAAAGATGTACTACTTGAGAGTTGTGAGTTAAGTTTTATTTGGGGCAAAATGAGGACTGCAGCTTGTGAGGCAGCATCTCAGATAGCTCTGAGAGATTGCTCTAAAGCCGCAGTGGAGGAAAATCAATATATAAGGTTTTGGTGAAAGGGGAGTTCAATACCATGAAGCACTTGATTTACAAAAGGTTTTTTGTTAGCCATGAGGGTCTGATGTCACCATGAAGGGATTTAGTGCTTCTCTAGATAAGAGAAGATGCAAGGATTGAGATCATAAAATCTGTTCCCCAAAACATCCAACTATCTAAAAGACCTGTCCCACCAGATTCCCTGGAGCACAAAGTGCCTCACTCCACCCTGAACTCCCGCAGGGGTTGTTGAAGGTCAACAGCTATAGCAGCACGGGTTCAATCTCCGTAGAGGCAGATGGCAGATGCCTTGTTGTTCAGTCATTGGCAATGCTCTTGGTAAGTGCCAGTTTGTAGCTGACACGGGCAACACACTGCCTTTCAGGAACCACAAGGCCCTTCCTCCGGTGCCTGGTACACATGTGTAGGAACCATGTGATACTGCCAACTGTTGTTTAGTCACTAACTCATGTCCGACTCTTTGCGACCCCATGGACTGTTGCCCACCAGGCTCCTCGGTGCATGGGATTCTCCAGGCAAGAATACTAGAGTGGGTTGCCATTTCCTTCTCCAGGAGATCTTCCCAAACCAGGGATCGGATTTCCATCTCCTGCACTGGCAGGCAGGTTCTTTACCACTGCGCCACCAAGAAGTCAGAATACCCAGCTGCTTTTGACCTATGAAAATGGCAGGTTCCTGAGCTCCATGCTGGTGAGGAGCATCAGGTAAGGGGAGCTACTACCTAGGGCCGCTCACCTGTCTGCTGCTGAGCAGGGCATGTCCTGTTCTCAAGTGGCCAGAGCCAGCCGGGCCAGCTGGTAGCCCCAGTGCAGCGTGAGTGTTTGGGCAGAATCCTCAGGGAATTACAACGGAGCCCTTAGAGAACACGATGACCCTGGGGAAAGAGCCACTTCGCAGAGGATGTGGAATCAGCCGGGACTGGGTGACCGAGCCATTTTTAAACTAGAGCTGGAAAAGGACCCTCCCACCTTGGACATGGCAGGGCTTGCTGGTATCACTTACCACATATTAAGAGATCTGACTTTGCAGGATGAGTTTTTTGTTTTTTGTTTTTTTAACTTTTGGCTGTGCTGGGTCTTGCTGTGCACAAGTTCTTTCCCTAGTTGAGGAGAGCAGGGGCTACTTTCTGTTGTGGGGTGTAGGCTTCTCATTGCAGTGGCTTCTCTTGTGGTGGAGCACGGGCTTAGTTGCTCCCTGGCACATGAAATCTTCCCGGACCAAGGGTTGAACCTGTGTCTCCTCCATTGGCAGGCAGATTCTTACCCACTGGACCACCAGGGAAGTCCCTGCAGAGTGAGTTTACCAACATGAATAATCATCCGGCCTCATGTACTGATTTCGGTTCCTGCATGTTACCCAGGCCTTGGGAATCTTGAAGGAATAATGGGATATTTCTGTCCCCATTTTAAGGATGAGGAAATTTAGACCGGAAGATGTGTGCGTTGAGCGTTAAGCCAAGAAGCTACATGTGGATTCCTGATCTTTCATTCCAACGAATCAGAACTGTTTTCTTCTCCACTCTTACTTCTTCCTTAGGAGCTGTGTGTTTCCGGGCAATGTCACTGAAACCAATTAAAACCTTTAAGCTAGTACCTCACTTTTAACCTATCGCAAATCAGATTCAGCAATAATCTGATTTCAAGTCTCTTGTAGTGGGTAAAAAGGAAAACTCTCTTCTCTGTGAGATTTTGGTTTCGCTGCCTAATTAGGTTGGTTCCACCATTATTGCATTTTAAAAGTAAAACATGATTTTATAACGAACAGTGAAACCACAGACGAGATGGTGTTGCAGTGGGAATCATTCAGATAAGCAAGAAAGTCGTACCAGATGCCTGCCTGAGACCAGATTCGACAGATGTTTGGCTGTCTGGGGCTGTCCCAAACATTCCAGATTTAAACGACCAGCCCTTCCCTTGATTTCTTTACTCTATGTGAAACGAACATTGGAAATGGGAGGGCAGGGATGGGTCAGGCTAATCAGAGTCTTTTCCAGAATCCAACCCGATTCAAAGGCCACCTTGGCTGCCTCTCTCTTCCCACTTTAAAGACGCTGGGCTGGTTTTTGGCGGCTCTCATCCCCTCCCTCCCTGGCGTGATTGGCTTTCTGATTTCCACCCTGGGGCAGACAGAGATGGTCCTCAAAGAGCCAAACTCCAGTCCTCGCCGGAGGAAAGGTCTAGGCCAGGCCAGCTGCCTCGGGTCACAGAGGCTCTGCTCAGGTCTCCAGCCTGACTAGGCAGCGCCTCAGTAGTGGACCCCATGGGGCGGGGTTTCCTGAAACATAGGAGGCTCCCCTCCCCATCCTGAAGTCTGCCTTAGAAGCCCAGAGAATAACTCGCCCGAGGGCTGTGATGACGGTGGAAGGTACTCAGAGCCAGGAGTAAGTCTGAGTCAGACAGAGCTGTCTGGGTGGGAGGAGGATTTGAACTTGCCCCAAACACGGAGAGTGTAGCATTAAAAAAAAAAAAAAAAAAGAGCAACCAAATTCCCATGACTTTCCTCACCACCTCCTCTCTTTCCCTACTCTATATCAGAAGTTCATGCCTGAAGTTTAGAACTTTGAAAGAAGACGTTGAAATAAAGAACTTCAAAAA